ATGTAATACGACTAGTACAGAAATATATATAGTATGTACAGAAATGTATAATCTGAAATGATAGGTAACTGCAGTTTATATGTTGTAGTTGATAGTTGACTACTATATAATAATTTATAATAATACATTATATTAAATAATTATAATAATAATTTATATTAGAATTATATAATTATATACTAAATACATATATATACTAAATAATAATAAGTAATTATTATAAGATATGTTATAAAGATAATTATAATATTATAGGATAAAAATCATTTTTTAAGACATTTCTAGATTTTAAATGCTCTGTTTATAAATTACATGTAACTATTGATGACAAATGCCTGAAGAGAAAGTGCCTTAGAGAAAGGTGTATAAATTGAGACCCAAATCAATGATGCTAATACAATAATTTAAAACTGTATATGCTATCAGATTGGCCTTTATCTTTCTCAGTCATCTTCCTCAGCAGTAAGGAAACTAACCTCTTTCATTGCACCAGATTTATTAAAACTACAATGTCATATCAATGTATACAAATAAAATTTAGTTCATATGAAGAAAAATGTTTTCTGTTGGATCTTGACTTAGAAGATTCAGTATACAAGTCTGTATACGTCACTAGATAATTAAGAAAACTATCTTCACAGATGCATGGATGGTGGTCACTTAACCTTGACATGCTATTCATTCTTTTCTTTTTCCCTTTGAGTAACCGGTGTGTGTGTGTGTGTGTGTGTGTGTGTGTGTGTATGATATATATATATATATATATATAATCACATATCAACCTTATATATATATATATATACGTATATATACACATCATCAATATCAACCTTATCTAAAACACTTGAATATTGAAAAATGGTTGCTTCTTAATAGGTTGGGGTGGCTTTACCTTTTCTCACAAATAAAAGATTCTCTACATTAGGAAATAGAAAATGTTAAAAAAAAGTTAAGGCACCCAACGCGGTGCAGCTACCTTTTCTCAGCTAAGAACTCACTCACATGTTGTCATTCACATTCCGCGCCCATTCCTGCCTTTGCAACTGCTGTCTGGCCTCCTTCAGCCCGTCCAGCGGGTCTGCCACCCGCAGCGTCGGTTCCAGGGGCCGGTAGCGCTGTTCCAGGACTTCAGCGACAGGGCGGAAGGGACCCTGACGAGAAAGGATGAAGTGAATATTTTATTATTTATGACCAAGGCTACTGAATACCTAACAAAGAATAGGAAGTAGTATTTGCTAAATTATTTTTAAAGAACAGTTTGTTCTTCTTTGAATTTGAAAGCACTGGAGGGAAGAGCATCACATCTTCCAGAAACGCTCACGCAAGTACACGTAAGTACACTAAAGTACGTTTTAAATTAAGCAAACACTTCCCCACTTACATCAAGAGTTTTCACGCTAGAACTAGTAAACTTGTAGTTATAAAAGCTGCTTTGTTTTCTAATTTTAAAAAAGCATGTATCTTCTAATTTAAAAGAAATTCTCTCCTTTTTTGAGTAAGCAAAAATATTTTAAAAGATCCTAGGCACAGCATTCAAAGATCCTTTCTATAAATAGAAATGGGACAGCAAGTTTTTTTTTATTTATTAAAATAAAGATTTTAGAGGGGCGAGTACAGACCGGTGGCAGAGTGTGTGCTTAGCATGCATGAGGTCTTGGGTTCAGTCCCTAGTACCTCTGCTAAACAAACAAACAAATTTAATTATTCCCCTCAAAATTAAAAAAAAATTTAAAAGAGTAAAAAATAAAGCTTTTAGGTAAGTGTCAAATCTTACATTTAACAGGTTCCGCACCCAAATATAGAAGAGTCATATTTTAAATTATTTTGTGTTCCTTATTTAAAATTCTAAATTCTATTGCTTAATAACTCCAATACAATAGCTACCATTTGATGACACAAATACATAGCAGAGGAAGGTCCCTAAGCTGCAACTGTGTGGGGTGGTTTACAACATATCCTACCTTTAAATTAGTAGTTACTTATCATAGTTACTAGCATCCGCTGGTTGTCTAGTTAGTATCAGATGAAGCACAATACCAGTCACAGGTGGCCCAAGGTGTTGCTGTGCCATTAATTACATCTTGCTTTCACCACCATCATTGTGCAGGACAGAAGTGATATAAAATGGACAAAGATTTCTAATCATATTCCCTATCCTTAAAGATCTCTTCTTTAAATAGGTTATCACTAACAAGCCACAGCTGGAGTTACTGCCAGCACTGAGTGAAGACTGTGGGGCTAATAAAAAGAAATGATTCACGCCTCATTTATGTTCACTTATGTTTTACATTAATAGAAACCAATAATAGGAACCAGTTACCATAAAAGTCATGGACCGTAAATAACACAAATGGCAAATAAGTATCATCTAGTACTTTTCACAGCTGGACAGGAGGACTGCTATATTTGAAAGTAGTTAATGGATTTTTATTGGAACTTTATTCTTTAAAGATACAGCAACATGATTCCAAGTTGACTATGAAGAAATCAAATATTTTTATAGATTTTTTATCTTTCACTTTGGCAGATTCTGTGGTTTAAAATTAATATTTGGTTGTGTTACCCAGAGCCAAATTACTTCTCTAGACCTTTTCTCTTCATATATAAAATGGAATAATAACTATCTTACAAAATTGCCTTTAAGGTACGTAGAGCAATAGAAGTAACGCTCTTAGCACGGTACCTAGAACCTAGTGAATACTCAAAAGTGGTACTCGTGGCTTTATTATTAGTAGTATGAAACTATCATCTTTAGTTTCCAGAGGAGTTTAAAAAAGATTATGAACAACAGTAGCATCAAATACATGGGCAAATGGCCAAGGCTATGACTTTGAAGAGGCCAGCACTTCCGAGGAGTAATGGTCTTCTCGGTGGCCAGGCTCTACCTTTGAAACTTTGTTGGTGTATCCGTGTAACATATGCCCATTTGTAGGCTTACTCTACTCCTCGTTCGGAATTTGCCATTTCCAAGACTAGGAAATGAAAGAGGAGGAACCCTACCTGAGCAGCATAATTTAGAATAAAAATAGACCCACTCTTCTATTTTCATTCACTATAATCTTCGTGACCACATCCTCCTTTAATAATGTCCACCTCTCTGTCTTTCAGTGCCTGCTCCATACATTTACATGTTAGACAATTAATGTCCTCCCTTTGACCACCTTCCTGGTTAGCAAACTTGGCATCTACTGTCAGGGTTCTCTTATGCCAAAGCTTCTACTGATTTCTATTTCTTTTTATAGACTCTTTTAGATCTCAAGTGATCATGTACACCAGTCACGCCCGGAGTGACATGGCATCCCAAATTTTGGACAAAGCTTCAAAATTCAGATCTGCTCATTGTACACACTTCCAAATATTAATTCCTAAAATGTGTAGACCATCCAGGATTCAATCTGAACCTGTAAGTCTTCTTGGACTCTTAGCTACAGTTTTCCAGTCATTGACTTTCTTTGCCTACAGTCAAGTCCTATTATAAGAGCCAAATACATTTATATTCTTCTGTATTTTTAATAACCCACATTACTTTCTAGTCAACTTGTTATTTTAAACTTTTCTCAAAGTTTAGATAATAGTAAAGTTATTTATATTCTTCCATATTTTTAATAATCCACATTACTTTCTAATCAACTTGTATTTTAAACTTTTCTCAAAGCTTAGGTAATAGTAAAGTTATTTTTTAAACTTGCTGTTGTTGTTTTATACATTTCAAAAATTCCCCTCTCAAGTACAGACAGAGTGTAACTATTATCACTTTGA